GGCAAAGCCTGCAAATTGCCGTAAACTGGCGCTAACCTGAAGTTCCACGACAATCTACAGTGCCGCATCTTTTCATGCAGTGATTCTCATTGTAAATCTGTAAATAAACCTTTGAACTTTTTCCCAGTCTGAGTGTTTCTGCATGTGGGTTAGACGCCTTGAACCCAAAATGACACAAGTATTCAGTCCGCCTCTTCAGATGGCCGCTCACACTGAGCCTGGTTCTGCTATAGGTTTCTTCCTATTAAAAGGGAGTTTTCCTCTTCACTGTCGCTAAAAGCATGCTTGGCGAGAGGGATTGCTGAAGAGTTAACTCATAAATGCAATCAGCTGGTATTTCTTACATAGAAAACTTTGAACCAGTCTGACTGGATGATGTGATTACTTTTTCTCTGTGAAGTTCCCTGAGATGACATGTGTTGCGAATTGATACTACAGAAATAAATTGAAAATAAAAATTGCATAGAACATTTTATTATTTAGTGTCGTACAGGTTGAATGTCTTGTTTGCTGTAAAATAAGATGTGTGACATTCTGTTATCACATATTTAACCTTACATTCTTCCCATTTTACAGTAGAAATTCTGCAGAACAGACAACAGTTTGAAGTGAGTTTTTCTCTGATTAAACTGGTCAAATCCTTTTTTTATGCTTTTTAAGTTTAAAATATTATTTCAGGTTAAAATTAGTTTTTTTTTAATGCTATTTCTACACAAAGATTATTCGCTGGTTAATAACAACTTTTTTGCAGACCCCAATTAAAAATATAAGACCAACACATCCAATTATGGAACAGGTTGTCATAAAGTGTAACAGTGTTTTTAATATGTAATTATTCTTTAGGACAAAAAAAACATAGATCTAATGAAGGTATGGTTATTGAAGCATATTTTAAAAAAAATTAGTTCACAGCAGCTGAAAAAGATGCAATAAGGAAATCATGGTTTTAATTCTGAATTGAGAACTCGCATTAAATAGTTGAAATCACCCAGAAAACAGTTTGGACATAAAAATATTTATCTGAAGATATCTAGTGTGTGATATTTGTGCAGAACTTGTAACAAACAAATATTTGCTTACCAGCTATACCAGAGAATTGCTGTGTAGTAATTTGATAAACACCAGTTACTGCTGATAAAACCACAAGTTTTTGAAATTTTGCAAGAAGTGTTTTCCCTGAATATGACTGGTCAGATTTTGTTTCTTCTTTTTTTAAGGGTGTTGCTTAAAATATTCCCTCAAGTATGTTGTATATAGTACTATATATATATATCAAGCCTCTGTCTAAGGAAAGAGGCAGCAAAGGTTCTGAACAGTTTCAGAATGTCTCAGATCATGAGGGGCTCCCTGCTCTCCTTGTCAGCAGCCTTGCTTCTTCTGCTGCCCTGGTTCAATGGTCTGGCAGAAGGTGAGGTTAAGAAGGGCTTCAAGGACTGTCTGCGCTTCTTCTACAACAAAAAGCTACCGACCGGTTTAGGTGGAGATTACAGCGATCTCAGAGAGTACCAGCCGATTTGCCAGCGCTACAAGAATGACTGGCGCTTTGCCAGTCTGTATCACAAGAAGAGTCGGACTCCTTTGTTCTCCGCCTACATAATGTCTCCTGGAGAAGGAGGGCGGCCTGATGACCCCTGGATGTATGAACCACGGGTAGGTAATAAGCACCATTAATTAAAACTCATCTACCTGATATGATGGCAGTACTGAGCTAATTATTTGACAGAAATGATATTTCTGTTTGATGAGACTTTATTATGAGCTCTACCATTTGCGGCACAAACTCTCCTCCAACCTGAGGAGGGTTATCCACCTTTTCAGGTCAAGAAGCATAGACTGCCTTGGAGGAGCTGATCTCAATCTTGGCTGCTTGGCATTCAGCTGCTCACAGTCTGCTGTAATAACAGGACACCCTGCTTACCTCGATGTTTAGGTCATCATGAAGGGTTTTTAATCGCTTTTGTCTGACTTGTCAACCAGAGCCTTTTTGCTTTGTGGGCAGTTAAATCTCAACAACAAAGCCTCTTGTTCCTCAAAAACCCTTTTACCATGAAAGTGGTGCTTTGATGCTATTCTATTATATTATTAATACTTGAAACATGTTCTTACTATTAATGACTAAACCGAAACACCTTTATGCCACTGCCATCTGTTCTTCTCTCTATTTTCCCTACTTTTACATTTTTGACATTTTAAATGTTCTTGCTACTGAAATGTTCTATAGAAATAAACTTACTGGTACCTTACAGAGTCTCAAATCTATGAAAATCAATTTGAAGAAAGACATTTTTTAGGGATTTATTTAATTAAATCACACCTGTTTCTATTAATTACTAAAAACAGGTAACTATTATTCAACACATATTTCAAGAATTTCAATACTTGGTTTAATTATGAATTAAGCTGTTAGTGATGATGGATGACAGCACACCATTAAAATACCAACTTCTCTGAAGTTTCATCAATCGGGCTGTTCTGAAAATTAAACATTACTGATCCTAAACCTAAGGGACTAAGCCTAATATGAAAAAAGGAAGGGAGTTTTCAAACAGATTGGAAATAATGGAAACAGGGTCGTGTGGCATCATTATTATTAGGCTCCAAAATTAGTTTCAATCCAATGTTTTAACTGGCATAATCATTTAGACTGACTAACAACTATCAGGTTTTCTACAAAGAAAAAAGAAAATAGCTGAATATTCACATTGATCACACATAAAATAAAATATTATATAAATCTAAATTTCTGTCGCTTTGGTACATAATATTATTTGGGTTTGCTACTCACTTGGTACAGAATAGCTATGTGGTTGGAGGAGAGACACACTCAGTGAATATTAACTGTGTCGTGCCAAGGAAGTTATCTCCTGCGAAAATTTGTATCCCCTCGTCAGGAGTGTGCGGGGAGTAAGAAGAATTTCTATGATAATTCTATTAACAAGAACTAGAATATTTTGAATAATTAGCAATGTAGATGATCCTTAGTATTACCAGACCCCTGTGTCTCCTAAAAAAGAGGGTGATTTCACATTTTTCACGCTTAAGACGGTTGCTATGGACTGCAACTGCTATATCACTGACCTCATTGTGATATTATGCAAAACATCATCTGTATGATCAAATTGTTCAGCTCAAATTCTAAATAACCTTCTTAAAAAGTCCTCATCAGAACATGGAACTGCATGTATATCATCACATTACTGCAGCTGATCCTACTACATTATTCTATTACAGTAACTCAATGTGTTTCTACATTATGTCCACATTAATTTGACCATAATGTAGAGGATCCTTCTGATTGTTAATGTGATTTCAAAGTAACAATACTCTACTTGAATACAAGTTCTGGCTCTTTACCAAGCTTGAACAAAAGAAACATGTTTACAAGAAAAATCTCCTAGTTTGTAAACAAGTTTTGTAGTTTTTTGGCCAAATAAATTATATGTCTCCAACAATGTAGCTCATAAATAAATATATACAAAATATATATAAAATAAATCTTGTCACTGACTGAGTTAATGAGTAATGCACTGGTGTTCTTTTCTGCAGTTGGCCAATCCCAAGAGCAGTTGGGAAATGCAACCTTTCCAAACTCCTGTTCCTAAAGATGTCATTGAAAGCCAAGCGGTCCTTGACGACTACAAGAACTCAGGCTTCACCAGAGGACATCTCGCTCCTAGTAGCCACCAGAACACGAAAGAGGACAAAGAAGCCACCTTTACTTTGACAAACATTGTTCCCCAGAAGGAAGAATCCAATTCAGGCCCCTGGAAAACATGGGAGGAAAAAGTCAGGAAAAGTTTTAAGAACTACTGCAAAGGTGAAATGTATGTTATAACTGGTGTCATTCCTTATGAGTCCAACACACCCCTGATCAATGGCAGAGTGGCTGTTCCTGAGTACATTTGGTCTGCTTACTGCTGCCCCAAATATGCATCAAAGCTCCCTGAAGAAGAGCAGAAGTTCTTTCCTGCATATGGTGCAGTGGGAAGAAATGATCCCAACAGCAATGACAAGATTGTGAAAAAGACAGAGAATTATCATGGTTATGAGGTGAGGGAGATGCCATTGGAAAACTTAGAGAGCGTCCTGAAAAAGAGAATGAACAGGAAAGGAGATGGCGTCAATCTGTTTGATTCAAAATGTCCCAAACCTAAAAAACCCTGAATAAGGAGTCAGCATTGCCGACTTTATGATTATAGAAGAAGCTTTGCAACCTCATTATAAGTATTATCATCATTATAACAGTCATTAGAATAGAATGTGCAATACTAAAATCTGGGTTGCTTATATGTAAAGTACTTAACAGGTTCATCTTTTGTTTGAGCATTTCTTTTTGTATGCTTAAATGAAAGATGAACCTCTCTCTAATCTTCCATTCTCTCCCATGGTGACCCCCGCACCCCAGTGGTCGGTTCAATTATGTGTAAAGAGTCAGGTGAGGAAAATGCCTCTCACTTTGTGTTGCTATATGTACAATTTCTTTGTTTCAAAATACTGTAACTTAGATTTTTTTTCACCCGTTTCTTTAAAATAATTGGAGTTTTTCTTTTACATATTCACGCTTGTTAAACTTGGATTTGTATTATCCATTACCAAAAATAAAGCTTTGCAAAAAAATAAAAAAATAAATAATAAAAAAACATCATGCATGAAATACAAGACTGGTGTTTTGAAATCATTCAATGTGGATTACCTTGTTGGTCTTAAAAAATCCTGATTCCATGAGGAAAAAAGATCTATATCTTAGGATATAGACCTAAGCTTTTCAGAGTGTGAACCAGGCCTGGGGTCCATTTCAATAAGAGAGATCTGGTTGNAATCCTGATTCCATGAGGAAAAAAGATCTATATCTTAGGATATAGACCTAAGCTTTTCAGAGTGTGAACCAGGCCTGGGGTCCATTTCAATAAGAACGTTTCCTAAACCTGAAATAAGAGACCTGGTTGGTAGCAGGTTTTGTTCAGTAAACTAAGGCTGCGTTCACACTGCAGGCTGAAGTGACCCAAATCTGATTTTTTTGCCCATATGCGACCTGGATCTGATCTTTTCATGGCTGTCTGAACAACACAGATCCGATGTTTTCCAATGCGACCCAGGCCACTTGGCTATGCGGTCCTGAATCCGATACGAATCTGATATTTTCAAATGCGACCCATGTTGCATTCATCCAACCTGAACGCCATTAATAACTGACAAAGGACACTGGGGCTTCTTATGAAGAAATGGCAAGAAAAAAAACAACCATGGCAGACGATGATGCGCAGAGCAGTATTTAGGTTTAAACATCTTGAAAAGATTGTCTTCATTGCATCCTCTAATGCACATGCAGGACATTGAGTTGTATGACTGCAGTTCACACAGGAGATCACATACAAGTTGCATATATTTGGAAATGTGAACGGCAACGCAAAAAAATCGGATTTCTCAAAAAAAACGTAATTGAGCATCAAGGCCTGCAGTGCGAAGGTAGCCTTAGTGTCCTCTGTTTCCGCTCTCCTTAGAGCCAATCATGTTGTTTTATTTCCTGATTTAGTCAGGAGATTTTTTTGTCATTTTTTGTGCAAATGAAAAAAAAAATTCAGTTGGTCCATTGGACACATTAGCTTTTATAAACAAACATTGCATGTCCGTTTGACGGGGATGTTATTAAAGAATGATCAGCATTAATTCACAGAGAATTTAATATTTAATGGGAGAGGATGCAATTACATTGGGCCATTTATTTGTTCTTAGTTTAGTTATTTTGAGCAACATGGGGATCATTTTATTGTTATTTATTTAGTTTTACAGTACATCAAGAAATTATTTTCAGATTACACATAAATAGATTAATTAATTAGCATTTACTCTGGGATAACAACCTACTGAGCCGAC